GCCTTAAAACCTGACAGAACTACGGCTAAGTTTGGTAATTCTCTTCCAAAAACTGCAGACATTCCTGGTGTGAATTTGGCATCAAACTCAAAATATGCTGGATCAGAAGAAGAATTAGCATCTGACATTCCGAGAAGAATTCCTGATTCTGTTGCTGAAGAAAAGGTTTCACCAGACTCTTGTGAAGATTCAGATGATGAGGACTGTTTTGATACTCAGATGTCAGAAATCATGATGACAGAACTAGAGGATGTTTCTTCCAAATTGGATCAAGATGCTGTTGACGATCCAACCCTTATGAATGCTTGTCAGAGCGCTGAGCAAAATAGGTCCATACAACATCAGATTACTCATACTGAAAAGTTCAAAACCATCAAAATGAACTCACAAGATGATTCTCAAAAGTCCAACTTGCAAGAAAATGTGAAGGTTTTCTTCAAGATGAGTAAATTATCCAAGCAAATGAAGGAAAGGAACTCCCAAAACTCTGAAGAACATGAAACCAATACTCCTCCATTTATAACTGGTAGTGCTATCAAACCATACAAACCAACTGCCGAAGATCTTCCTTTCTGAAGAAGCAGTTAACAAGGATCAACTAAAATCAAAGTTTCCTAGGATTGAAATTGCTTCAGGAAAGACAGCTGTAGTGAAAGAGCCATCATTTAAATCTGCACCAGATCCTTTTAAAGAAGAAAATAAAACATTGAAAACATCCAGACCAAAATTTCCCATGTTTAAAACAGCTCTTGGTAAAGATGTGACAGTGAAAGAAGAATCAATCAAAACTGCTAGGAATATATTTGATGATGGTCCAGATATTACCAGAAATGACACTTTGGATAGTTCTTCACTCCAGTTACTCAGTTTCCAAACATCTTTATCAGAGAGTTTAACTACTGAGGAAACTGCCAATGATTCTTTTGTGACTCCCATTTCACATGGTTTCCAGACAGCCTCTGGTCAGAAAGTACATGTCTCTGATAGAGCTCTACACCATGTTAAGGCATTTCTCAAGGATGAAGCTACTGCTGGTGATCATGAGCCGATCCAAGAAGCTTCACCACTAAACTCAAAATTTCACATGTTTGCAACAGCATCAGACCAAAAGATTCAAGTGAAAGAGGAGTCATTGCAGCATATCAAAGAAGCTCTTGATTTTGACTCTTTCAAAGAAAACAGCTTACCAAATGAGTCTTTAAATGAAGATGAACAAACTGTACCAAACATCGAACATTCTGATTCCAAGAGCAATACAGTTCAAAAAAATTATTTGCATAGGGACACAGTAGTTCCAGATATCCAAGAAAAGACTGCTGATTCCAAGTTATTTATTGTCCAACCAGATGTAACTTTACAATCCAGAGATGCTTTTTTTGGATTCCAAACTGCATCTGGTCACAAGGCAGTGGTTAATCCTAGATCTATTTTGCATGCTAAACATCTTTTTGAAGAAAAGTCTGTAGATACTTTAGAAATATCTCCAACGAAAGCCAAACAATACAATTTGGATGAATGTGCTAACAGCTCGATAGTAGCTGCAGTTCCTGCAAATGAAATGATTCCAGATATGTCTATGGGTTGTGGTTTTCAGACAGCTTCTGGGAAAGGTGTGAACATTAGTGCCAAATCATTAAAACATGTCCCAGACATCTTCAGAGAAGAATCCATTTATAATCAATCTCCTGATCATCATACAAAAGTAAATCCATCTGCTAATGATTCTATAATGCGGTCCAAAGTTATTGAAACAAAACTAGATGGTAAGGAGTCTTTCCCAAACCCTGATTTATTTCAAACTGCCTCTGGTAAAGGAATAACAGTAGATAATTCCTCTTTGAAACATGTTCAAGATATATTCAAAGAGGACAATCTACCAAAAGCATCAACCAATGTATTTCAAACTGCCTCTGGTAAAGGAATAACAGTAGATAATGCCTCTTTGAAACATGTTCAAAATATATTCAAAGATGACAATTCACTAAAAGCATCAACCAATGTATTTCAAACTGCCTCTGGTAAAGGAATAACAGTAGATAATGCCTCTTTGAAACATGTACAAGATATATTCAAAGAGGACAATCTACCAAAAGCATCAACCAATGTATTTCAAACTGCCTCTGGTAAAGGGATAACAGTAGATAATGCCTCTTTGAAACATGTTCAAGATATATTCAAAGAGGACAATCTACCAAAAGCATCAACAAATGTATTTCAAACTGCCTCTGGTAAGGGGATAACAGTAGATAATGCCTCTTTGAAACATGTTCAAGATATATTCAAAGATGACAATTCACCAAAAGCATCAACCAATGTATTTCAAACTGCCTCTGGTAAAGGGATAACAGTAGATAATGCCTCTTTGAAACATGTTCAAGATATATTCAAAGATGATACATCTCCTCACGTAGAGACTGAAGAGCATAAAGCAGTTAACAATGCCTCTTCAAAAAATGCCCAAAATATGCCTCTTAACATTTCAAATAACAATAATACTTCCACCAGTGTCGTTGGTCATTCTGATCAGGGTCAACAATTGGTACCAAAGATAGACAGTCAGAAACCACCCAAGCCTATTAAACCTTGTTTTGTGACACCAGATAGAAGAAAACCAGCTCATCCACAATCAACACCAAGATCATCAAAAAATACTGTTCTTCATGATAAACCAGGTCAGTTATTCTTAAGTTAATATACTTTATTGATGGAATGGTCAATTCTTTAGAAATTTATCCATTCAATTAACTTTTATTGCCGACTTGGAATGCCAATTTTTCTTAGATAATATGGTGCTGGTGCTTATATGGTAAAGAGGGCTGGTTATTGAGTTAAGCACTTTTCTGGCTTACCTTGGAAGTAAAGGGATCAAGCCCATCATATGTGGATAATATTTACCTTGGGAAAGGGGTAAACATGTCCTTTCTATTGGATGATTTTTGAGCAGTCATATGCTACTGTCCTATAGAATTTGTCACATTTCAGACTTTCATAGCATTGTGATGTCTAATATAATGCAGAAAAAGTAACTCCATCTTTATTACAGGTGTTTCAGAAGATAGAGTGAATAAGAGTTTTAAGTCAGTACATAGCTATCCTGAGGAACATTATTTAGATAGAGGTTCTAGACACCATCCTTTATTATCTACCACTATTGATACCAAGTAAGTCTTGATTTTCTCTCATTAAATACATTCCTTTTATTTGACTTTGTGTGAGTGTTTGTAATCACCCAAGGATGAACCCTATGAAAAACACTTGGGGAAATTGTTTATTATCAACCATGGATGAACCCTATTGAAAATTGAAATATGAATTTATATGAATTACTGACCTTGTTCTAGAAAACGCTTTCAATTTTTGCTCATAAACACTTAAAGGCAAGATTTGACAAAACTTGGTGATATTGTTCAGTATGGCCCCCGAAAGTTCAAAAGAAGTGTAAGACTGAAGGTTGAATATTTCATAATGGTGATTGTTACTGTACTGCTAAATATTTATATTCAAAATCCATCTTTTACTCAATTGTGTTATATTTTGTCTCAATAAAGAAAAACATCATATGAAGATCAGTTAGATAATTTATTGGGTCAACAGAAGAGCTCAGAAAAATCAAAATTTCAAACACCATACAAAAAAATAGAATCTACACCAAACAGTAAAACAGAAGATAACTCTCAGCCTGTTAAAAAGTCAACGCCATTTTTGGCAAAAAGGTCTCTGAAACTTGGTGGAACTCCACTAAAATGTGAATCCTGTGAAAAAGATGCATCACCCTTAGAGATTTCACGTTCTCCTGAAAGGAAAGGAGTCCAAGTCGCTTCTGAAGTCTTAGAGTGCCACCTGGTGGAAGCTAGAATGAAACAAGAGAAGATAATTCGCTTTAAAAAGAAAAGGAAAACTAGACCTCTGGCTGGACAATTGAGTACCATGAAAAGTGAAAGATCATCCAGTATCAAGTATGAAGATCTTAACAGAGAGAATTTAACAAGAAAAGAGGTTAATGAATTGCCCTTATCTCAAAAAGTTTAGTGAACAACAGATATTAAGTCGTTTGTATGAGGTGACATTAGCAAGATCTGCAAGTTTTCCTGCTGACTCTTAAGGGAAACCATCTTTAATCAGCCCCTTGTTCATCCTTGTTGCTTCAATCCTGCCTTTCAGGTAACATCTCCAATATGATGTGTATTGATAAATTGCTCACTACCCTAGGGGTTCAGGGTTTGATAAACGCGTATTTTGAGGTAAAACCTTCAGATTGTTCAATTCTTTCAGCTGTTGAATCTCGGATGTTTAGAATCAACTTTATCAGTCAAGTCTTCAACAGCTGTAGAACATAGATTCCAACTCTCAGACTTCTATCCTGGAAGTCTCAATAAAGATATATTAGTAGGAGATGGTGCCATTCTCATTCCTGATAATCATGGTTTTGCTGGAAGGGAGGAATTTTACAAGTAAGAAATTCAAAAGCTTGAAAAGCATGGCAGATAATTTCTGTAGAGTGATTTTATTCCTTCGCATTCTTTCGACAGCTGGAAATCATAAAAGAAATGCTTATTCTGCAGTCCCCAGCAAAATTTCCCTCATTGCATACTCTATGGCATTGTCTGTCTTTATTAAACCAATACGATGCAGAGAAGAGGACGTTGAATCCATTTTATTTTATTTCTCTATGATAATTTGGGTATTATGTAAATTCTATTTTGAACATTTATGTCATGCAATGGAACTACTGAATATTAAGGGGCTTTCATCAAACAGAAAAAACATGTGTTAACTGTACAAATCCACATAGCGGTTTATACATAAGTGTACACAGTTTTTTTCTGTTTATACGTCAATAAACTGAAAAATGTTCAGGTCATTCCTTATAATTAAATCAATTCGAATACGTGTTTAAATATTTATTTAATATAATGACAATTTAAGGCACTAAATACTAAATAAACAGAAGTCATGATATAATATATAAAGATATGATATTTTGTAGATCATTTCAAACTATGGAAGGTATAGATTTATCACTGATATCTGTAGAATGGCTTGATAATCATTATAAATGGATAATATGGAAATTAGCAGCATATGAAGTAGCGTTTCCTCATGACTTTATAAGAAGGTAAGTCTAAACTCATGGGTGTAAGGTGTGTTATATAGAAGCACTGGCCAAGGTCACAAGAAGAGAACATACCTCTTTTATATCAATTATGAATTTGAGTAATAAAGATTAAATTCAAAATGAAACAAAAACGTTTGATTCATTGACATGAAAATGTAGAAGAAAATTTGCTGTTACCATCCATGTCTGTTTCAGGTCTTTAACACCTAATAATGTGATGTTACAATTAAAGTATAGATATGATAGAGAAATAGACCAGTGTTATAGGTAAAATTTCTAAACATATATCTTTGATTGAAAAAAAAAACTCCAAAGAAACACATTTCTCATCATATATCGTCATACGAGGTTTCAAGAGGTCACTCACGATAGCAAGCTATTACAAACTTAGTACTTAAACCTTGACTGTGAACTGTGAGCCATAACGTTTATAGCCTTTCAGTTAAGGGCTCTGATTGGCTGTAAAATCGGCATTCCGTGATACAAGAAAAGTGGTTCCTGTAGTCAAGGTATAAGTATGAAATTTGTATAGCTTGTCATTGTGAAGATGATGGATATATTAATTGTAAACATAAAATGACATGAAAATAAACTCAAAATATATTTCACTGCACCCCATCCATACAGGACCTTTTTTGTGGTAAAATTTGGCATATTACACACACATAGTGAAAAGTATATCCACATCTTGTGCTTATAGTTTCAATTTCCATCAATCTACATATGACAATTTCAGATCCAGTATTAAGAAGATAGTAGAGAGGGATGATACAGTGTGTAAGAGATTAGTATTATGTATATGTGATATTAGACAACTAGACCAAGGAACAGTGGTAGAAGTCACTGATGGCTGGTACAGCATCAGAGCTTGTCTAGACACACCATTACTAGATCTAGTCCATAAACAACGTCTAGTCATTGGTCAGAAACTAGTAACAACTGGTGCTGAATTAGTTGGTTCTCAGGATGCTTGTTCTCCTCTTGAGGTAAGTTCACTGTCAAACATTTTCTTTACAATCTGAGGGGCTTAAATTTGGCTAACCATTACATATCACTCATACTTGTTCATGACTTTATTACACATCACTCATACTTGTTCTTCATTGTATATCACTCATACTTGTTCATGGCTTCATTACATATCACTCATACTTGTTCATGACTTTATTACACATCACTCATACTTGTTCTTCATTATATATCACTCATACTTGTTCATGGCTTCATTACATATCACTCATACTTGTTCATGACTTTATTACACATCACTCATACTTGTTCTTCATTACATATCACTCATATTTGTTCATGACTTTATTACACATCACTCATACTTGTTCTTCATTATATATCACTCATACTTGTTCATGGCTTCATTACATATCACTCATACTTGTTCATGACTTTATTACACATCACTCATACTTGTTCTTCATTATATATCACTCATACTTGTTTATGGCTTCATTACACATCACTCATACTTGTTCTTCAATATGTATCACTCATACTTGTTGATGGCTTCATTACATATCACTCATACTTGTGCATGACTTCATTTCATATCACTCAAACTTTTTCATGACTTCATTATATATCACTCATACGTGTTCATGACTTCATTCATGTCATTCATACTTGTTCTGCACTACTTATCACTTATACTTATCTATGATTTCATTACACATCACTTATCCTTGTTCGTGACTTCATTTCATATCACTCAAACTTGTTCTGCACTACTTATCACTTATACTTATCCATGAATTCATGTCACATCACTCATACTTGTTCATGACTTAATTTCATATCACTCAAACTTGTTCATGACTTAATTTCATATCACTCCAACTTGTTCATGACTTCCTTATATATCACTCATACTTGTTCATGACTTCATTACATATCACTCATCCTTGTTCGTGAATTCATTACAGATCACTCATACTTATCCATGATTTCATTACATATCACTCATACTAGTTCATGTCTTCATTTCATATCACTCCAACTTGTTCATGACTTCCTTATATATCACTCATACTTGTTCGTGAATTCATTACAGATCACTCATACTTATCCATGATTTCATTACATATCACTCATACTAGTTCATGTCTTCATTTCATATCACTCATACTTGTTCATGACTTCATTACACATCACTCATACTTGTTCATGACTTCATTACACATCACTCATACTTGTTCATGACTTCATTACATATTACTTATAGGTGAATAATTGTATTTTTCAGATACCTGAATCATTACAGTTGAAACTATGTTATAATTCTACTAGACCAGTAAGCTGGCATACTAGACTAGGCTATCAACATGATCCTAGACCATTAATAGTACCATTAACATCTTTAAATAGTAATGGTGGTATGATTGGTACTATAGATATAGTAGTTGTTAGAATTTATCCTGTATTAGTAAGTATTCCAACTAATGGTATAATTGGTAGTTGGTACGATGTATTTTTAGAAAGCATGTCCAAGTTTATTTATTGCTATTGAAAGGGTGCTATGAAATCTTTTATTTCCATAGACATCAATTTTCATAGATTTTTTCTGATTGATAATGATTTCAGAATAAATGATATTAAATCGCTCTCTAACCTTGAGCTATGGGTTTGAGGCTGCTAAAGGTGAGCTGTTGTTTAGAGCTAAGATTGAATCTTGACGTCCTTTGTTTGATTACATTAAACAAATAGGGGTTGATCCAGCAGTAAAATGGACAAGGAAAACCTGTGAAATTTCAATACCAAGAGGTTTGGCAAAGGACCAGCTGGTAGACAGGATCACATACAAAAAATGCTTGAACCCGCTTAGTTCTACAAGTTACAGGGGCTGACCTAATATCTTCTCTATTTCTGTAGGAATGTTCCATTTTGTTCCCACTTGTAAATGTCGAGAAAATAATGTTATTATGTTTTACAGTATATGGAGAAGCTAGCTGATGGAGGATGTATATTTCGTTCTGCTGAACAAGAAGAATCTATCAGTAGAAAACATGAAGAAAAAAAACAGGCCATGATAGAAAAATTATATAGTAAATTACAATCAGATATGGAAAAATCTTATTCTAAAGGTAATGCTTACGTTGTACACTTTCAACAAATACTGTTGCTCTTCCAGCCTCATGGGAGCCACGGTGGCTCAGTGAGTTAGACGCGTGCTCACTAACCTGAAGGTCCAGGACTCAATCCCAGCATAGGTCGAGATAATACCTTTGGATTTTACAACCTGGTTGCCCGCTGTCAGTGATGCAGGTAAGAGGGTCTGACATGGAAAAAGCGTCTAGTTGTTAAAATGGGACAATAAACTGAGGCCCAATGTGCTACAGACTGTGCACGTTAAAGATCCCTTGACAGTTGGAAATCAAAAAGAGCTTTTTTCATATCAGCCCCTCCACTCTGCATCACTGACAAGGGGAAACCTGGTTGAAACATCTGATGGTATTATCTTGACTTATGCCAGGATTGAACCCTGGGCCTTCAGGTTAGTGAGCAAGCATCAACTCTGAGAAGATAAGTTAGTGGTTTACAGTAGTAAACTATAGCTATATAACAATTTTCAGAAAAGACAAAAAGAAGTAATCAGAGATGGAAGAAAGAAGATATAGAACAGTTAACAACAGGACAAGAGATATTAGAAGCTGTAGAGAGTTCACTCCAACCTGAAGATATCCAGGTAAGATGCTCATTACATTTTGAACTTGTTTACGAATATATCAGCTGAAAAGAGTCTCAAATTTTGGCTGAAAATTACAGGGTGTAGTAATTAGAGAACAGATGTATCGTTTTTGTAACTAATCATACCTTAGTCTAAGCTAATCAGTAATAGTGTTCACAGCTCACCCTCAAAATTCGAGCCTATAAATCCATGTGTGTCCAGAATTATCTGCGTTTGAAAGTCGTTTGAAAATAGACAAGTTGTCTATTTTGAGACACTGTCATTTATAGAAAAGACATCTATAGAAATAAGAAAATCTATTCCTAGTTTGAAGTATTTTTGAAGTAATTATGTGATGTTTTTTACATTTCTAGTACTTCTGAAGACTATTTACATATATTCAAGACTCAAATAAACTACCCGAAAATGGTGAATTTGTCCCTATAAATTGATAATATGTATTAAAATTTGATCCAACCTTACTATGTCAATTTTGTGTTTATTTTTTTTAGAGTTTACTAAGTGAGAGACAAGTTGAATTAATGAGAGAATATCAACAAAAACAACATGATGATAAACAACAACAACTACAATCAGAAATACAACAAACACTAGCTGATAATCAACAGGTATAACATCTTCATATGTCAAGGGTGTTTGAGTCAGTTTACAGAAATCTATCCCTTGATCCAGAAGTTTGAAATTCAATAGCCTTCCAATTTGCTATCTGGTTTTCATTAAATTGAAGGAAATCAAGTCTCTAAATATTAACTTCAAGAGCTCAATTCACAGATTTTAAAATAGAAATGCCATGTTTAGCTTTTATTTTTAATCTAGCCACTTCAGGTAAGGTCTAACAACAGCCCTCTCGAACGTTCTTTGTATCTATGACTATAGAAATTGAATATATTTCTATGATTGTAGATGAATATAGAAAGAAAAGTAACACCACTATTAAAGATGAGAGTTAGTGGTTGTTGTCAAACAGATATAGATAATCAGGCTGGTATGTTAGTGTTTTTACATCCATTTATCTGGAATATTGTTTATATGAAATATGGTGCAGTTTACATGACAGTATGTCCATTTACATGACACTATGTCCATTTATATGATATTATGTTCATTTACATGACATCATGTCCATTTACATGGTATTATGTTCATTTACATGACATGTCCATTTACGTGATATGTCCATTTACATGACATCATGTCCATTTACATGATATTATGTTCTTTTACATGACATTATGTCCATTTACATGACATTATGTTCTTTTACATGACATTATGTCCATTTACATGACATCATGTCCATTTACATGGTATTATGTTCATTTACATGACATGTCAATTTATGTGATATGTTCATTTACATGACATTATGTCCATTTACATCATATTATGTTAATTTACATGACATAATGTCAAGTATACTATGTACATATTTAGTACATTTTATTTACTATTTTTCTAGCTACAATATTAACAATATGGAGACCGAGTACAGAATGGTTTCAGCTACAGGAAGGCAAACGTTACAAATTATACAATATACAAGCTTCTTCTTCAAGGTAGGTTTTCTCTCAATTGTTTGCTTGTTTGTGTCATGCATTTACTTTAACTTGGACTGTACATTGAACTTGATTGATTGACTTGAAATAATGATAAAAATGTTGGATTTTGTTTCATAGTTTTTCTTCGTGCCACTACATGATCTAATGAAATTCCAACCAAATTGTCTTGTCGTGAGTTGAATTTGAACCGTAAGTGTCAAAAGTTGTCAATACAACTGAAATGCTAGTCAATAACCTTTACTTATGTCCTTGAGCATGTTTTGCCTACAAGTTTTGTCAGATCATAGGTGGAAACTGGAAATCCCACAGAGAAGACACAGAACAAATCATGAAATGTGCGTTTCAATCAACTGGAATTGAGACTGATGTAGTATTTTCAATATTTTTATTAGTATCTGTTTATTTGATGTATTATTGTTACAGGAGTCGATTAGAAAGTTTATGTGTTAGTTTAACATCAAGTAGAAACACTAGAATTAAATATTTACCTATTGATGAGAACTTATTAGATGTTATCTATGAACCAAGGGAGGTAAGTCTGAATTAACAGATTATTTAACAACTACGTACCTTGAAAGTTTAAACTTCTGTCACCTCATTATTATGGACTTTTAACTTCCACAGCACCTTTTTATACACCCACATGAAATTTGGAGCTTATATTGGCATCATCCATCTGTCTGTGTAATTGCTCAAAAACACTCTAGAAGTCAAAATTATTTATGGATTATGACGAAACTTGGTGAGAAGATGCCGGTGGTCGTATATTACCCTTGCTGGCAAGCAATCTTTGTTTAATTGTATTTTAAGGGACATTACATGTCAAATTGTGAATCTGCTTTATCAGGTACAGTAAATATTTTGATGATAGTTTCCCTTTTTCTCAATAATAGTGAAGTATGATTTTTTTTTTAAAATAGGTTTGGAGTGTATCTGATCTAAAAGTAAGAAAACCATCTTCTAAAGAGTTTGATTTTGTTGGTATGGTATTTGATATAGAAAATGGAAGGTATTTAGGCCTACGTTATCTTTGTTATATAAAGTTTTTGATAGTCCATGACAAGTAACTTGTTATTTTTTACCCAACCTAACCACTTAGAAACAATCAAATCCTGTCTCACTTGAGCATTGGTCCAAACAAGGAATGTTGATTCAATGATATTTGCCAGTCATGTTTGATTCAAGTTTCAATATGTACATCTGTAATGTAGATCTTCAAAAGGCATTTTCAATGGAATAAAAGTCAGTTTTTGTGATGA